CTGAACGTGAGACAGGAAACTATCAACACCCTAGAGGAGAAAGCAGGAAACAACCTCCTTGACCTCCACCGCAGCAACTTCTTACTTGACACATCCCCAAAAGCAAGGGAATCAAGAGCAAAAATAAACTGTTGGGACCTCATCAAGATTAAAAGCTTCTGCACAGCCAAGGAAACAACCCAGAAAATTAATAGGCAACCAACGGAATGGGAAAAGATAGTTGCAAATGACATATCAGATAAAGGGTTAATATCCAGAATCTATAAGGAACTCACCAAACTACACGCCCGAAAAACAAACAACCCAGTGAAGAAATGGGCAGAAGACATGAACAGACACTTCTCCAAAGAGGACATCCAGATGGCCAACAGACACATGAAACGATGCTCAGCATCCCTCCTCATCAGGGAAATACAAATCAAAACCACACTGAGATACCACCTCACGCCAGTCAGAGTGGCTAAAATGAGCAAATCAGAGAACTCTAGATGCTGGCGAGGATGTGGAGAAACGGGCACCCTCCTACACTGTTGGTGGGAATGTAAACTGGTACAGCCCCTCTGGAAAACAGTGTGGAGGTTCCTCAGGAAACTAACAATAGAACTCCCTTATGACCCAGCAATAGCACTGCTAGGAATTTACCCAAGGGATACAGAAATGCTGAGGCATAGGAGCACATGTACCCCAATGTTCATAGCAGCACTCTCCACAATAGCTAAAACATGGAAAGAGCCTAAGTGTCCATCAACAGATGAATGGATCAAGAAGATGTGGTTTATCTATACCATGGAATACTACATGGCAATGAGAAACAATGAAATCTGGCCATGTGTAGCAACATGGATGGACCTTGAGGGTGTTATGCTGAGCGAAATAAGTCAGGCAGAGAAGGACAAATATCATATGTTTGCACGTATAGGAGGATTAGGAGGAACTTGACGGAGGAACAAGGGGGAGAAGAAGGGCGGAAATGGTGGGGGAAAGGGAGAGAGGCAAACCATGAGAGACTCTTGAATGGTGACAAAAACTGAGGACTGATGGATGTAGGGCGGAGGGGGGATTGGCATGGAGGAGGGCACTCGTGGGGATGAGCACTGTGTGTTATGTGTAAACTAATTTGACAATAAACTATTTGTAAAAAAAAAAAAAAAAAAAAGGAAAGAGAAGAACCTAAAAAAAAATATCAGTACTGTTGTTATTGCCTACAATATTCTGTACATGTCATTTGGGTAAGGTTTGTTAAATACATTCTTCTAATGTTTCATATCTGGATCTTCTTATCATCTGTTCTAAAATCTTTTAGGAGAGTCATGTTGAAACCTCAGCTGTGATTGTGGATTTAGTTCTCCTTTTGTTTGTGTTAATGTTTTTGCATTATTTTAATAGAAATTATGATATTGATATTGTTACACTTTCCAATTCATCATTATAATCACTTCATTATTATGAAATGTCCTTCATTATCTTGGTTATGCTTCTGGCCTTAATGTTTGCATTAATCAGCTACTGACATTCTCCTGGTTAGTGTTTTCCTGATATATTTTTTCCATTCTTTTTTTTCAGTGATTCTGGTGTTATATTTAAAATGTGTCTTTTAGAGGCACCTGGGTGGCTCAGTTGGTTAAGCATCTGACTCTCTATATTGGCTCCGATCATGATCTCATGGTTCATGGTGTCAAACCCCACGTCAGTCTTTGTGCTGACCACATGGAGCCTACTTGGCACCCTCTCTCCCTCTCTCCCTCTCTCTCTCTCTGTCTGCCCCTACCCCACTCATGCTTTCTCTGTCTCTTTCAAAATAAATAAATAAACATTTTTTAAAAATGTATCTTTTGTAAGTATTATAAATATATTTAATCTGATAGTCTTAGTCTTTTACTTAGAGTATGTGCTCTATCTCCATAAATGCAATTGCTGATTGCTTTATAGCCACCATCTCATTATTTGTGTATAACCACACATATATTAATTTCCTTCTACTTTCTTGTCTTATTTTTGATTAATGACATTTTATGCAGTCTTTTTTAGTGTTATTTTGGTGATGATCCTAGCATAAAAACTGATATTCTTGACTTACTACAGTCTATTTAAATATGCCATTTGGAGTTTTCAGAATTCCATATAGTTGTTTTCCTTTCAGTGACATACTTTCCTTGTGTGAAGATATTTTTAAAACCATATAAATTAATGATAAAGTAAATCATCATAAAGTACTCATTTTTAAAGCATTTTTTTCTAGAATGCAGTTAATATGTAAGATGAAGTCATTTCATAAGTCTGATGACATTTGTCTTTCTCAAGGATCTTTTAGTCACATTCTCTGAGTCCCTGATTGATATATATTTCTTTTTACATTCAAAATGTGTGTGTGTGTGTGTGTGTGTGTGTGTGTGTGTGTGTGTGTGTGTAAGGAGGCAGGAACCCATGGGAGTAGGATGCCCAAACCAACTCTTCATGTTTCTAGCCACAGGAGAGTGGCTGTTATAGAAACAACATCTTTATAAAGTCATCCAGAGTCCAAAGTCACAATACTTTGGTTTCTCTTCAGATCACATAAATCTCTCCTGTTTTACCAAAGTCATATGCAGAGGGCTAGTGAGAGGTTGAGAAGTCACACTTTGCCTGACAGCAGTTGGATGGTCACACTGCCATTTGGGGCAGAATTTCTCTGTAGGTATTTTTGGGAACAGTACATTGGAAAGCCAAGCATAAATGACCCTTTGAGTTCGCACTTCAGTTTAGTTCACTGTTTATTTAGAAGAATGTTATTGTATCTTCAGATGTTAGTATGTGAAGACCCTGAAGATCACACAATGTCAGAAGAGCATGAGCACACTAGGTTATGAGTCAGCTGAGCTCACAGAAGGTCAGCTCACCTTTGTCTCTGATTTGATTAGTTGAGGCATATTTTAAGTGTCTGGATTTATGTCAATTTCCACAGAGAAAAATGATGCATACTTTGTTCTTGACTTTAATGAGCTTTGGTCATTCTAGGAAAGGTGGCTGAGAACTAGAGATCCAGGCAGAGAGATAAAACCATGAAACAGGCACCTATGGAATTCCCTGGGTGTCCCTGGGAGGAAGATAACTTTCAAATTGGGAGATCAGAGATTGGACAGAATTGTGCTCAAATTTAAGTGAAGATAATGGGATGTCTGAAGCCGAGCAGAGCTGAGGCTAGGGCTGGCTGAACTGAAGTGGCAGTCTTGGATTAGGGTTAGCCTAAATCAGTTGTTAGGCCAGTTATGACAGTTTGTGTAGTTTTCTCATTCTCAAACTATTGTCCCTGAAAAGCAGCATAGGCATTACCTGGGAATTTGTTAGAAAGGTAAATTCTTGGCTTTTCTCCCAAAACTACAAAATAGGTAACTCTGGAGGTTGGTGTCAGCAATCTGTGTTTCAGGTGATCCTAATACACACCCACATTTGAGAACCACTGGTGTAGATAAAAGAAAACCCTGATAAGAAGCCCACACTATATATTCAAGAAAAAAAAATGGAGAGCTCTGAACATTGATTGGGAGGTATGTGTATGTGCATGTGCGTGTGTGTGCCTGTGTGTGTGTGTGTGTGTGTGTGTGTGTGTATTCAGGGGCACCCAAACAACATGCCCCCAGATCCATCTATAAGGGATGGTTTTTCCTCTGCCTCAGAGGAGAACAACAGCAGGACCTGGCAACTGCTTCCCATCAGGGCCCAGGATGGTTAAGAAGATCCTTGAAGAGAACTGAAGCCCCAGTTTGTGCAGCACCCTGTTCTTAGGCATATTTAAGTATTCCTTTAGTTCTGCTCTTGTTCTAGAAGCCTCATCTCCTTATTTTTTCTCCTTTACCCAGGAAATACAGTGGTTTTTATTATATTATTTTTAAGCAGTTACTTACCAAATACAGACACAAGTAAGATACTACACAGGTAGCTTTTGTATTTATTGCTCTCACCTCTAGGTTTCACCACGAATTTGTCCCCCCACCCCCATTCTGCTTTGTTCAGCTTTTTAGTGAGTGTTAAGCAAGACTGCCAGTGGTTCAGAGTACAGCAAGATATGGAGGTGCTAATTAAAGATTCAAGGGTATTATGATGCTTTCAACAATCTGTCAGTTTCATATATCTGACTTGTACTTATTGAGTGCCTATTATGTCAGCAGGTGCATGGCACTTTTCTCTGTGCTATTATAAAAAGATAAGATTTCATTGCTTACAAATGGAGCACAGACTTTTGGGAAGACAAATAGGATATATCATTTGTATAGGAGAGGTGTTTTAAATTTTTTTTAATGTTTTATTTCTGAGAGAGAGAGAGGCAGCATGAGCAGAAGAAGGTCAGAGAGAGAGGGAGACACAGAATCCAAAGCAGGCTACAAGCTCTGAACTAGCTGTCAGCACAGAGCCTGACAAGGGGCTTGAACCCACGAACCATGAGATCATTACCTGAGCCGAAGTCAGATGCTTAACCGACAGAGCCACCCCGGTGCCCCTAGGAGAGTTTTATTAATGCTTTAATAGCAGTATGCTCAGGAAATTAAAGGATCATAGGGAAACAATGGAAAGGGGAGGCATCTAACCATGGATGCAGAAAGAGTAACAAGAAAAAAAATTTCTAAGAGCTGTAACTTTTGGTACAGATAGAATGCGACAAGCAGAAGTTAGTTATTTGAGGGCAAGAGAATTTATTCTAGGAGAAGGTTATGACATGTAAAAACACAACGGTGAGACAAAATGCAAAGCATGTCTGTCAGTGGCTGGATTTATGTGTGGAGTTGGAATCTACTGATGAAGGGAGTTATTTTTTATTAATAAAGTTATGAATGCTAGGGACATTATTTTAACAAACAGTTGCCTGTACAATTTAAATTGTAGACATATTTCATGACATAAGAATTGTGGAGAATGTGACAGCCTAGAACAGAGGCAGATAAATCAGTTAGGAGGTTGTTAATTAAACAGTCAAACTCTGAATTCATGTCTTTTCTTTCAGCCAGTTTCAGGCCCACCTGCCAGTCATGGTACTATTTCTCAACAACACAGGCACCCAGGTGACTGAATTCCTGATGATTTGCTTCCCAGGAATGCAGGATACACAGCACTGGCTATCCGTAATCCTTGCTCCCCTCCTGGTTTTGGCCGTTGGGGCCAACTTTGTGTTATTACTCACCATCCAGCAGGAGACATCTCTGCATGGGCCCATGTACTACCTGCTTGCCATCCTCTCCGTGCTGGATATCATCCTCTGCCTTACTGTCATCCCCAAGGTCAGACCCCTTCTGGATTGGCTTCCAGGATCTCAGTCATTTTTCTTTAAATAGTACTTTGTTTTGCTGCTATGAATCCTACTGCCCCTGAAGGACAATCCTCAATGAGTTGTCCATACCATCACACAGGGTCTGTCACATCTCTCAGATATGTCCCCGCTCATTCTCAGTGTCCATTTTTTAAAGATTTAATTCTTTCCCAACTGACAGGCCCTTTCTCAATGTCTGAGTTAATGATATTCCAAGTTTTGACCTCCTTTTTACTTCTAGGGAGATTTTCCTTAACTCAGAATGATCCCACCATTACATCCAAGAGCTCTAGAATTTACTTTCTAAAATGTAACTGGATGTATGTTGATGTCATATACTAAGATAGGAAGCAGAATTGGAAGACATTTCTTATATGTCTAGAGAAGATGGAGAGTATCTAAACATAAGTATTGAACTTACTTAGTTTGATGTTCTTGTGATGCATTTAGGAGGGCAGAGGGATTCAACTGGAGTTTGGGTAAGAACTCTGGGGATCAAGAGAATACAGGCTAGAAATAAATATTAAACAAGAGGCATGGTCTATAGATGGAGAGAAAAGGGTATAAATCAGGCTCTACTTGGGATGTACATAGAAGGTATTTGAAATTAGGATACTGTCCCAGCTGGGATCATAGGGCTGTGGTTTGGGGGTACAGATGGTTGAAGTCACTGACAGTTTCCCCAAAGGTTAGGTACCCTAGGGTGGGAATGACTGCAATTTTTGAGAATAATGATTCTGGCAGGTCCTGCTCATCTTCTGGTTCAACATGAAGACCATCAGCCTTGCAGGCTGCTTTCTGCAGATGTTCATCATGAATACACTGCTTCCCATGGAGTCTTCCACCTTCCTGGTCATGGCCTATGACCGCTATGTGGCCATTTGCCATCCTCTGCGCTACTCATCCATCATCACTGAAAAATTTGTCATTTATGCAGCCATCTTCATTGTCTTCCGCAATTTTCTGGCCACACTACCCACACCAGTTCTGGCTGCCAGGCTCAACTACTGTGCCAGCAATGTGGTGGAGAACTGTATCTGTGCCAACATTTCCGTAGCAAAGCTCTCCTGTGGGAATATTCACCTAAATAAGCTCTACCAGTTTGTGAGTGTTTGGTGTCTACTAGGTTCTGACCTACTGCTCATCTTACTGTCCTACTGCTTCATCCTGAGGGCTGTTAAGCGTCTGCAGTCAGGGGGTGCAGCAACCAAAGCCTTGAGTACTTGTGGTTCCCATCTCATTCTTATACTTTTCTTCTATACATTGCTGCTTGTCTTCATCTTCACAAACAAGGTAGAAAAGAAGGTGCCCTCAGAGGTACCCATTCTTCTCAATGTCTTGCACCACCTTATTCCACCAGCCCTGAACCCCATAGTTTATGGAGTACGAACCCAGGAAATCAAGCGAGGAATTATCAAACTACTCAAGTACCAGTTTTGAGAGACATGAGTCAAAGATCAGGGATTATGAAAGGCTGTTTTAGTGATAGAGTCATCCAAACGCCACAAGGAACACATGACATCCATGCTGCTACCGTCATCTTGAACTTAAGCCTTCTACAGAACTTAAACACTTCGACATAATATTTACCCTCACGATTGCCTCCTCAAATTCTCACTGAGCACATGTTTAGGCAACCATTACCTTTTTATTCTAACCCCTTGCCATCATGATCTTTTAATACTCATTCCTTAAATGATTATTTAATACCTTCCACATACTTAGTCTTTATATTCTGAGTGACTATCACATTTAATTCCTAGCGCAAGGATGAGACACACTTTAAATAGAACATGGGAGATATGGGTAGGATCAGGGGAACCAATGAAGACAATATTTTTTTTAATGTTTTGTTTATTTTTGAGAGGGAGTGCATGTGAGTGGGGAAGGGACAGACAGAGAGAGGGACAGAAGATCCAAAGAGGGCTTTGCACTGAAAGCAGTGAGCCTGATGCAGGGCTCAAACTCATGAATCTGTGACATCATGACCTGCGTCGAGGTCAGACACTCAACTGACTGAGCCACCCAGGTACCCCAAGACTTATTTTAAATAATCCAGGTGAAATGTAATAATAGCTCGGGCTAAAGTAGTGAGTTAAAATTGAAGTTATGGGTTACAAAATTTGCTGAGAGTCCTTATGTAGGATATAAAAGATGGAGAGGAGTAAAGAATGACTCCAAGCCTTTTTTTCCCTTAAGTTTTAATGTAAATTCCAGGTAGTTAACATTCAGTATAGCATTAGTTTCAGGTGTACAATATAGTGACTCAACACTTCCATAACCCCCCTCCCCCCGCCTGGTGGTCATCACAACAGGTGCACTCCCTAATCCCCATCAGCTATTTCACCCATCCACCCTCCCCCACTTCCCCTCTGGTAACCATCAGTTTGTTCTCTATAGTTAAGAGTCTGTTTCTTCAAGGCTGTTTGCAAGAACAGTTGGAAAAGCAGAATTGCCATTAACTGAGGAGCCAGTTTTATATGTGGTATCAGAAGTTTGACTTTGGGGGTGCCTGGGTGGCTCAGTGGGTTAAGCGTCCAACTTTGGCTCATTATCTCACAGTTCATGACATCGAGCCCTGCATCGGGCTCTGTGCTGACAGCTCGGATCCTGGAGCCTGCTTCGGATTCTATGTCTTCCTTTCTCTCTGTTCCTCCCTGGCTCTCTCTCTCTCAAAAATAAATAAACATTTTAAAAAGTTGTTAAAAATTTAATAAAAAAGAAGTTTGACTTTGGACTCCTAACTCTATTTCCATACCAAACTCCTCCAAATGACTGTACCTTTTTTTCTTAAATAGTTTATCGTCAAGTTGGTTTCCATATAAGACCCAATGCTCATCCCAATAAGTGCCCTCCTCCATGCCCATCACCCCCATTCCCCTCTCCCCCACTCCCATCAGCCCTCAGTTTGTTCTCAGCATTCAAGAGTCTCTCATGGTTTGCCTCCCTGTCCCCGACTATTTTTCCCCTTCTTCTCCCCCATGGTCCTCCGTTAAGTTCCTCCTAATCCTCCTATATGTGCAAACATATGGTATCTATCCTGCTTTGCCTGACTTATTTCGCTCAGCATAACACCCTCAAGGTCCATCCATGTTGCTACACATGGCCAGATTTCATTCTTCTCATTGCCATGTAGTATTCCATCATATAAATAAACCACATCTTCTTGATCCATTCATCAGTAGATGGACACTTAGGCTCTTTCCATGTTTTGGCTATTGTTGAGAGTGCTGCTATGAACATTGGGGTACATGTGCCCCTATGCATCAGCACTCCTGTATCCCTTGGGTAAATTCCTAGTGGCAATATTACTGGATCATAGGGGAGTTCAATTGTTAATTTTCTGAGGAACCTCCAAACTGTTTTCCAGAGGGGCTGCACCAGTTTACATTCCCACCAACAGTGTAGGAGGGTGCCCGTTTCTCCACATCCTCACCAGCATCTAGAGTTTACTGATTTGTTCATTTTAGCCACTCTGACCAGCGTGAGGTGGTATCTCAGTGTGGTTTTGATTTGTATTTCCCTGACGATGAGGGACGCTGAGCACATTTCACGTGTCTGTTGGCCATCTGGATGTCCTCTTTGGAGAAGTTTCTGTTCATGTCTTCTGCCCATCTCTTCACTGGATTATTTGTTTTTTGGGTGTGGATTTTGATGAGTTCCTTATAGATGTTGGACACTACCCCTTTATCTGATATGTCATTTGCAACTATTTTTTCCGCTTCTGTCAGTTGCCTATTAGTTTTATGGATTGTTTCTGTTGCGTGCAGAAGCTTTTCATCTTGATAAGGTCCCCATTCATCTTGATGAGGTCCCCATAGTTCATTTTTGGTCTTGATTCCTTACCTTTGAGGATGTGTCAAGTAAGAAATTGCTGTGGTGGAGGTCAAGGAGGTTTTTTCCTGCTTTCTCTGCTAGGGTGTTGATGGTTTCCTGTCTCACATTCAGGTCCTTTACCCATTTTGAGTTTGTTTTTGTGTATGGTGTGAGAAAATGATCTAGTTTCATACTTTTGCATGTTGCTGTCCAGTTCTCCCAGCACCATCTGTTAAAGAGGCTGTCTTTTTTCCATTTGATACTCTTTCCCCCTTTGTCAAAGATTAGTTGGCTATACATTTGTGGGTCTAATTCTTAGTTCTCTGTTCTATTCCATTGGTCTATGTGTCTGTTTTTGTGCCAATACCTTACTGCCTTTGTAATTACAACTTTGTAGTAGAGGCTAAAGTCTGGGATGGTGATGCCTCCCATTTTGGTTTTCTTCTTCAATATTACTTTGGCTATTCGGGGTCTTTTGTGGTTCCATTCAAATTTTAGAATAGTTTGTTCTAGTTTTGAGAAGAATGCTGGTGCAATTTTGATTGGGATTGCATTTATAGTGTAGATTGCTTTGGGTAGTGTTGTCATTTTAACAATATTTGTTCTTCCGATCCATGAGAATGGAATGTTTTTCCATTTCTTTGTGTCTTCTTCAAATTCCTTCATAAGTTTTCTATAATTTTCATCATGCAGATCTTTTATATCTTTGTTTAGGTTTATTCCTAGGTATTTTATGCTTTTTGTGCAACTGTGAATGGAATCAGTTTCTTGATTTCTCTTTCTGTTGCTTTATTATTGGTCTATTAAATGCAACCGATTTCTGTACGTTGATTTTGTACCCTGTGACTTTGCTGAATTCACAGATCAGTTCTAGCAGGCTTCTGGTGGAGTCTATCGGGTTTTCCATGTAGAGTATCATGTCTACTGCGAAAAGTGGAAGTTTGACTTCTTCTTTGCCAATTCTGATGCTTTTTATTTCCTCTTTTTATGATTGCTAATGCTAGGACTTCCAGCACTATTTTAAACAACAGTGGTGAGGGTGGACATCTCTGTCATGTTCCTGATATCAGAGGAAAGGCTCTCAGTTTTTTCCCCCTTGAGGATGATGTTAGCCAAGGGCTTCTCATAGATGGCATTTATGGTGTATGACTAAGTTCCTTCTATCTCGACTTTGTCCAGGGTGTTTATTAAGAGTTTTGTCAAATGCTTTTTCTGCGTCTATCAACAGGATCATTTGGTTTTTATCTTTTCTTTTGTTAATATGATGTATCACATTGATTGATTTGCGAATATTGAACCAGCCCTGTAACCCAGGAATGAATCCCACTTGATCATGGTGGATAATTCTCTTTATGTGCTGTTGATTCGATTTGCAAGCATCTTGTGGAGGATTTTTGCGTCTGTATTCATCAAGGATATAGGCCTGTAGTTCTCTTTTATTGCTGGGTCTCTGTATGGCTTGGGAATCAAAGTGATGCTGGCTTCGTAGAATGAGTTCGAAAGTTTTCCTTCGATTTCTATTTTTTGGAATAGCTTGAGAAGAATGGGTACTAATTCTGTTTTAAATGTCTGGTTGAATTACCCAGGGAAGCCATCTGGCCTAGGGCTCTTATTTTTTGGGAGATTTTTGATAACAGATTCGATTTCTTCTCTAGTCATGGGTCTGTTCAGATTTTCTATCTCTTCCCGTGTGAATTTCGGTAGTATGTGTGTTTAGGAATTTGTCTATGTCTTCTAAGTTGTCCAGTTTGTTGCCATATAATTTTTCACAGTATTCCCTGATAATTGCTAGTCTTTCTGAGGGGTTGGTTATAATAAGTCCATTTTCATTCATGGATTTGTCTACTTGGGTGCTCTCTCTTTTCTTTTTGAGAAGCCTGGCTAGAGATTTGTCAACTTTTTTTATTTTGTCAAAAAACCAACTCTTGGTTTCATTGATCTGTTCAACTGTTTTTTTTGGATTCTATAGATTTTCTGCCGTGATTTTTTTATTATTTCTCTTCTACTGGGTTTGGCGTACTCTTGTTGCTCTTCTTCTCGTTCCTTTAGGTGAGCTGTTAGATTTTGTAGTTGTACTTTTTCTAATTTCCTGAAATAGGCCTGGAGTGCAATGTACTTTCCTCTGAGGACTACCTTCACCATATCCCACAGAGTTTGAATTGTATTTTCATTTTCAGTTGTTTCTATATATTTTTTAATTTCTTCTCTAATTGTCTGATTGCCCCATTCATTGTTTATTAGGGTGTTTTGGGGGGGGGTTCCAGACTTTTTCCTGTGGTTGATTTCAAGTATCATAGCATTGTGATCTGAAAGTGTGCATGGTATCATCTCAATTTTTTAATATTTATTGAGGGTGCTTTATGTTTCAGTATGTGATCTATCTTGGAGAATGTGCCAAGCACACTTGAGAAGAAAGTGAATTTCATGGTCTCAGGACATAGAGTACTAAATATATCTGTGAAATCAATCTGGTCCAATTGAAGTCCATTGTTTCTTCAGTGATTTTCTGTCTGGTTGATCTATCCATTGCTGTAAGTGGAGTATTAAAGTCCCCTGCTATTAGCACATTCTTATCCATAAGGTTGTTTCTGTTTGTGATTGTTTTATGTATTTGGGTACTCCCG